TTTAAAAGCAAATAAAAAACAATAATTAAAAAAAAAGAAATTAAAAACAAACCCAGGTCTCCAGTGCGCATGCTTATAAGTGTGTCCGCGATGCGTTCAACGTGGCGGATGCGGGGCACAACGCGGAGCACACAGCACGGCAGCAGAAGCAAGTGAAGCAAAGCAAGATCATTATTTCCTCTTATTTAGTACAGTGAACCACAACACACGCGCACAATCCCCGCGGTTGAGTGCTGGCACGCAAAGCCCGCACACACCTCTTCAGCCCAGAGTGGTGTACGCCAGCGCGGATGCGGCGAGCACCAGCGGGGCACACACCCACGCAGAGCTGCTGAGGCTGCTGTCGATTCCGCGAAGACGTGACGGTGCGCGGGTGGTCGATACAGCTGGCGCCTCTGTAGTCGTAGTGCTTGGTGCCTGTGTTGTGGTGGTCGTGGTGTTTGGCGCCTTTGTCGTGGTCGTGGTGGTTGTAGTTGGTGGTTTTGTTGTAGTCGTCGTGGTGGTTGTCTGAGCAGAAGTTTCAGACTCCTTATTTTTTTCTTCTGCGGATGTTTCGGTGCGACTTTGTTGCTCTTTCATACCCTCTGACAGTGATGTATTTGCCTCGGTACTTACTTTTGGTCCCACACCTGCCGTACTGGAAGATCCTGGTCCCTCTCCGCCATCATTTCCCGGCTTTCCAACGGGCTCCAAACTTGACGACCCTAACTGACCGGCCGTCGGGGGTGTTGGCTCTGGCGGAGGAGGCGGTGGAGCGGGCGGTGGAACGGGAGCGGCTTTAGGCCCATTCTCAGTCCCTGACACGCACACGGACGGGCAGCAGCACAGGGCAAGCACCAACAGGGCGCACAGCAGACGGCACGTCATCATCATCGTGAGTGTGGTCGTTCAGTGGTGTGGAGCTGATCTGCACAGTGAGGGACATGGAGAGCAACAGGGGAGACGAGAGGTGCGGCAGACACACACAGAGGGCACACCACATGAGGAGAGGGCAGCAGCCAGGCATGCACCGTGCGCCGCACACCACGCACGACACACACTCCAATCCACGGCAGCAGGCACACACACACACACACAGCCCTGCCACAACACCAACACACAGATGGAAGAGGGAGAAGCAAACAGGAGCGGCACACAAGGCCCCACCGCATGCACACACGGCGAGAGCGGTCCGTCGTGTCGGCACCCCTCACGGAGGGTACGCACACACAAGAGGAGGTGCAGTGCACACAGCAACAGAAAGGCAAAGTAACAATTAAAAAAGGGATATCCCCGCACACCATGTGGATTGTTGGCCCACGGCAACTGCAGCCAACATTCATCAAAAAAGCAACTCAGTTGTCTTCAGCCTTCGTTCATATTCAGCGCAAGGAATGGAAGAGTGCAGGAAACTATTTATTTTTGTTCCTGTTTGAATGTTGGAAGGTTTCTGCATGCGTTGTTTCGTTTTTCAGATAGCAAACCTTCATGCCTGGATCGTGTGCTAAGAATTTCTGCGGGGTGCACAATTCTTTTCTTTCCCCTTGTGAATGTTTCTTGTGTTGGCGCAGCCAATAATTCGGTTTGTGTTGCTCCTGCCTTTCGCTGGTAAAGTGCTGCAATAGATGTTTGTTTTTCCTCTCATTGCTGTGGCACATGACTCCTCACCGTTTATTGCGGTGAAAATGAAAATATGTGAGTGGACTCCCACGCACCAGAACGCACCTTCGCTCCTATTTATTGCTGCATGGAAGGGCATGTGTGTTTGGTGGTGTCTCGTCCATATATTTTGTGGGTGTACATTCCCCTGCAGGCTGAGGGCGGGATGACGCTCCGTCGCGGTGCACTTCCCTCGCATGCCGCCCACTGTGATTCATCATGCATCACCCTCTCACATATTCCGTGGTGCCACACCGCTGATATTACTGCAGCCGCTGCGAGTCCACGTATTC